TTTCAAATTTTTATGATATGTTCAAATTTATATTTTATTCAAAAATAAAATCATTATTGTTTTTAAAAAAAATACAAAATCGTATTATAACATCAACAGAGACAAATAATAAAATAAAACATTAAAATCAAGATATATTTTGTTGTATTGCACGAGTATTCTTCTAGTATAAATAAATGGATTTCGTTCACATAATCTATGTTACAATTCATACTTAAAATTTCCTTAGGGCTGGAACCAAGAGTAAGCCTACGCCAAACCTTGTTTTGTTGGATACTTTATTGGGCTCACCCTCTTGCCTTGTGGCTTTTCTAAGATATGCTTTTACGAACATTTAAATTTCTCGATTAATAAAGTTCGGTTTTAGTAACTACTCGTACTTCCACATTCCCACAAATTCGTGTATGTATATATATACATATGACGGGTACAGGGCGGGACGGGGAGTGCGATACCCGTCCCCGTTCCCATCCCTAGTTTAGTGGGGAATCCCCACCCTCGATCGGGGCGGGTGGACCGGGTCCCTCAAAGAATCGGGTTCCAATGCCATGCTTAAGTAAATCGTGATTTACTAGCGTAGGATCATGCCTCCTTGCTTGTTCGATAAAACAAGACTAAGCTAGGGATGCACAAAAAGCCCAAACCTGGCCCGAGCCCGACCTGAAAATGGCCAAGCGTAGTGAGTCTAAAAGCCGAAGCCTAGACCCGGTCCGAAAAATCCTGACATGAAAAAGACTGGAAAATTCCAGTCAAGCCCGAAAAAGTCTATCTTGCAAAAACCCGATTGGCTTCTTTTCAACCCCAAAGCCCAGTTTGGGTTTTTTCTAACTAAATACAGGTTTCAATGGCCTAGTCCAGGCCCGAAAAAAATCTCGGGCCTTGCACATATTTACGTAAGACTATGCCCTATATCCACTGTTTGAATCTAGCATATAATGTGCTTGGCTCGACCTAAGTATATGTTGGTTAGTTCTATATTGTCATATTCAGTTGTTCAATATTTTCAAATGATGTCATATTTTTGTCATTAAAATGTGTTATATTTAAAATTTATTTGATTGTGGAGAATGGATAATGGATTGATGAATGAAGTTGTCATTGTCGTATTAATTTAGTTTTGAATGGATTGCGTTGACTTTAAGCATTTATGTGATCAATTCCATTCATCAAGATTTGAAAATGGTGTTCTTGAATTAGTGGTATATCACCATCACCATCCTCTTTTTACCACTCATTTTCATTTCATTTGGTAAACATCAACATGATTCATTTATTGATACATTGTTTTTCCTTTCAAACCCTTTTCATATATATATATATATATACACACACGAGGACAGATATAAACTAGAAATTAAACATTTTGTGAGAAGTTTCAATATTATGTATAATTATATGTGTGATACATTAGTTTAATCATATATGATTAAACATACAAAGAGTTTAATCATATATGATATTGAAACTTTTCGTATTCTCGTAAAATGTTTAAATTCTCGCATGATCATTTCTAATACTAGAAGTGTACTCGCGCAATGCAGCGAGATACATCTTGTTTTTAATATTTCATTTTATTCTTTATCTCAGTCGATGTTATAATATGACTTTATTTGATTTTGAGAAAGCGATGATTTTTATTTTTGAATAAAATATATATTTGACGATTTCATAAAAATTTGACAAAAATATATCGATATTAGTATCAAATTAACTATTTGAAATTCCTCATTTTTTTGTGTAATTTTTTAATCCAATTTTTTTTTATAATTTAATTTATGTACAATAAC